TCACCTGAGGTTGAGTTCTGACAGCTTGCTATTAGACTCTACGAATTCGTGTTGGATTTAGGCGTAGACTTTCTGGTACCTCTGGAGCTGCTCGGCTTCTTTTTCGACAAAAACCGTCGTAATGACCCATCCCGTTACATTTCCTGCACCGATGTTGTTTATATGGACAGCTTCGAATAAAATGCCATGCACTGCAGTGCCGGCATGGAGCAGGAGGATTTGTTTCTGTCTGCCGACATGCACTAGATGTCTCTGGGGCAGTTTTATGCGCATCGGGTGGTTGTTGGACTACATGAACTTCGGCACGATCTGAACCAGAACGCTGAACCATCATAGTATCACGCTGTAGGTTGATTAGGTGTTTGTATTCGTTTGCAATATCAATAACAGTTAGTTCTGGGTCTTCATCCAAACGACTACGCAAGCGTGTTCTAATCTCACTGAACTTCTGCGACTGAAAGCTGTAGATGAGAATGAGTGCTTTAAATTAGTCTTCAATAAGCGACTTCGACCAGAAGCGTTCGCATTCTCTGTTGACGATCCCCACATGTGTGAAAAAAATCATCATCTCTGCTCATAGTGAGCTTCAAACATCGATAACGCGCAGTGAGTAGTGAGGAAATGTCTCCGAATTGTTGGCTCAATGACTAGACAGTTTCCAAGAATGAGCAATCGCATGGGTTTGTGGGGGGAAATAGGTTGCAATATCTATCTAGTTCACTAGGACTCAACTTCCAAAGTAGCAGTCGAACCTTCCAAGCATCATTTTGGTTAGCAAAATCAAATTTAAATAGGTCTTTATAACGCCGGATCCACATGTCAAAAGTAACGTTGGCATCGGGATCATGATGAAACACAACAATGCTATTTGCGATGCCGTTTACTGATGGTGATGTGGTTGCATTAGACGCGCTTTGTCCTCATCATGGTCTGTTATTACTTGAGATGTGCTCACTTTCAAAATTAAAACGACTCTATTTTTAATCGCTGTGTGCTCAAGTTGACCCTCATATTTTGTTTGGGATTATAGATGTAGGTAAATCCTCAAAATAAATAGCCCTGCGCGTCGTTAACATTGACGCTGACTAAATCCCGAAGAACTAAGATGGGCCATAGACGAATTCGAGCATACAATATTCTTAAGAATTATCTGACCATTAAGAGGCCTGTGACTATCTTTGCATAATGTCCCTACGTAGGGTAGCGATAAATATGGTGGATCTAGTGATTACCGACGACTTAATGCGAACATCACACATGGTAGTTACCCGTTGCTGCATATTCAGGACTTGACAACTAAACTGAAAGGCATAATTATCTCTTCGAAAGTCGATTTGATTGAAGCGTATAGTTAAATTCTCATGGTTGCAGACAATTTTCCTAGGATGACCACACATTCTTTGGAATTTACTTTGTGTAAACAAAGCAGTAGCTAAATAAGCCCATTTCCGGACAGAGAATTTCATACTCAGGATCTAGACATCGTTTTCCAACAGCTCAAAGACACAGTGTTAGGTATGCAGAGGAATACGCCAATAATTATCGTGTCAAGTCGGATGGTGTCCTTGGACGTTAAATGTACATTTCCTATTGGTCGATATTTGCTTCAGTTGTTTAATATTATGTAAATGTTGTTTCCTATTTTTATGGTACGATGTGGTATGCTTGGTTAGTATATAAACAGAGTGTGTTTGAAATATAATGATTCATATCTCAGAGGCTGTGACTTTCGTTCTGGACTCAACTGGCTGGGGTAGACAGGGAAGCAGGGCCAATCAGGGCACTAGGTCGTTCGTACGTATTTCCGTGTCACTGTAACCGATCGATCGATATAAACGCTGCTTTATCAAAAACCTGCAGTCAGTCACACCCGTTATAACACACAGCATTACTGATGACATACTATTAACGCTCAAGGTATACGTTCTCTGAGAAAGGAAGCTGCGGCTATCCCGAATTACTTAGAACTTAGGTCACTCAATTTCGTACATTCACAGGACTAGTAAGTTTTCAACGGTGGTGCATACTGGCTTCAGGATTGCTTATAATAATAATATATTTTCAGATAGCAAAATATTACAAGAGGCATGCCAATTTACAGGCAAGATCAAGCTGTTACAAATGATATATTATTTAGTTTAATAAGTTAATAAATTACGTTGACAAGTTATGGCGCACATGGACAATTTAAACAGTGGATAAATTCTCATACATTAGAATATTAATGTCAGTATGACTTTAATGTCCAGTATGAGAGTCGGCGCGCTTTGTGGGTGTTGTGTCGCAACAGGCAATTGGTGGTCGAGAATGCATGGATTTGAAGTGCAGATTGGTCAACCGAAGTTGCTAACTTGAGCGTACTAGTTTGTATTTCTCAATAGCGATCCCAGATAAAGTTCGGAGGTATGAGTGGTGGTGCAGGACAGAAACAAATGTTTTACAAATGTCTTCGGTAGTATACCATGAGGGTACTCGAAAGGAAAGAAAAAGGGAAGAGAGGGGAGCAGAAAAGACAATGGTTATGACTAGTGTATTTTAGTCATTTGTGAAAGAACAGTAAGGGTATGACTACTTGAACTAATTCTCTTTTATCAGGTTAATTTCTTAGAAAATATATTTCGTCAGGTAAAAAAAACACAGTATGGTGATAAATGTAAAGAGAAGTATCTGAGTGAAGATGACTGGGAAAGCTGAAAGTTTAGCAATATATGTAATTTTAACATTAAGTAATAAAAATACGATTCTCAAATACCAACTGGCTTTTTACGTCATGAACCCATTAACTGACCAGCTTCATGAGAATAGTTCACTAACCATAAGCCAGTAGCTTTTTCTCTCAGCCAATCTTTAAATAAGTACTCTTCTCCAGTTCAAGTGGTTCAAATGGTTGTGTATGGGATAGAATGTGCTTTCGCTTAACGGGATTCCGTCTTTAGTAGCTGTGGATTACCAATACCTCCAGGAAGGAACCTAAGTATATTAACGATAAAAGAGGAGAAAGAAGAAAATTGGTAAAACATAGAAAGACATTATCTTTAATCCTTAAGAATAGGTCAAGTTTCCTCCTAAAGGACTTCTGGAGAGTCGCTTGAACTACCTCAGTCGGTAGTAAATTCCAGGATTTGATAGCTCTTACGAAGTAGACGTTGTGTCTACAGTCTGTTCTGTTGTGTTTCCAGTTTCTAGGTATTATCCCCTAGGTTTGTGTTAGAGCTAAACTTACGTAGGTGTTTAAGGGGATGTCCAAAAGTATATGAATACCACAAAAGCGTAAATCATGTTATGTGCTAACTTCGATGTGTGCTTTTTTACACAGGTTTGGTGGTCAAACGACTACCGTCAAGCTATGGTAGACCAGAACATCCAAGTAGATCATCTACACTGGTGATCTGTAAATCTAACTATAATTCAACTCAACTAGTGGGAGATAAACCAAAGCCATGTAAGATCAGGTTTGTGCATCTTCTTAAGAAGAAAATATTTTGCTTGAGTTTTATTTTCCTCTATCCCAATGACTTTGCATTTTATTGCATTTTATTTTGTTCACTGACTATGCCTGGAGTGTTTCACAAAAAGATTTTCGTGTCCTGGAAATCAAACCTCACCATAAGGTTCTCTGACTTTTAGCGAGGGTCTAAATGCATGCCAAGGTACCTCAATTTTGGGCGATCCCACTATTGTAATGTTTCATCGCGTATCAGGTGTTACCCACCAAAATCTTTTGATGCATCTAACGACTAGTTTGGCTGGTCATGTAGAGCCATCAAAATATCATCGAGCACTAACCATATCACTCATCAAGTCAACTACAGCAGCTGTTAAAGAATCAGAAGTTAACCCGTCATAAATTCGCTCAAGCACCGCTAGCAACCCAATATTGCCTAAAATCTTTTAAGTCAAGGAGTCTACATGAAAGGAATTAAATTGAACCAAACAGAGTTCAACTGTTTTTATGGGCCAAATTAGCCGAAAACAGTTTTATAAACGAGGATTAATCATTTCAGTAAATTACAAGCAGACCATGCACGTGAACGTTTTAAATTATGATCCAAAACGGGCAGAAATAATAAACTATCGACAACTCAATATGTGTAAAGAGTGAGACGCTGGTTTCATACTGTAAACGGGACCTAATGAAGCTACTAAAATTTAGGAGGGAAGTCATAGTTTGCAACAAGTCGCAGAGCCACCACCTCAAACTTCACACATTGTTGTCTGGTCAACTTGAAAGTCAAGTACGATTCTACATAGGCTCTAGAATATCATTCAGGCTTCTGGCGTCACTCAGTGGCTTTATATGATCAACAAAATTATGTGTCTTAGGTTATTGAAGATGTTACAAGTATTATGAGTTTGACAACGCCCTTGCACGAACACCTTTATAACCGAAGTATGAAAATCCAGTTTAATCAAGAGTCGGAAAACGAAGGGGTTTGGACACATATTTGAAAAGCTATCGATATACACCGGGAGGCGTTTTATCTAACGGTCGTACGAGGTGCGTAGCACAGTGTGCCCACTCGTGATCTGGTGCGGATGTGCGACAGAACGCCTTTAGCTATATATGTCTATTTAGACCAGCGAGGTCAGCATCAGATGTTTAAAACTTACAGAACTATTTATTTTGGGGATTTATTTACCGCTACATTGTCAGTTGAGGAAGATCATTAATATGAGGCTAAAAGAGCAAAGGACCAATAATCGATTGAACGGCATCGGGTAGTGAGTTTTGTTACATGCAGGGAAAGATGACTAAAGGACTGCCAAGCTGTATATTTAGTAAATGGAAGAACGGTAGCGTGAAGTATGGTGGGCACCAAGAAATATCACAGTCTTGACCATGATAATAATTCCATTAAAATTATGAAATCAATATAAATTACTGAAAAGCTGATGAAATGGGTTTCTGCTGATTATGATAAACTAAGCCGTAGTACAACGCTACTAAAATACAATACCGACATTTTCGATGTTCGTTGTTGGAAGGCCGTTCTTCATTTGGCGGTCTTTAGTCCGTTTTGGTTGGCGGTCTATTTAGGCAGGTCGCTAGCTGTCTGTTTTGCATTGTTACTCTCTGGTTACTGCTTATATTTTAAAAGTATCAACTTTTCTGTGATATAGAATCCCTTAGACGACAGAGACCAAGTGGGAGCTCAATTAATGTGTGAGAATATTAATATTCCTCTACAGATCCTTCCATGTATTTCAGATCCACATAAATTCCTCTTCTGTTCATCGAATTGGGTACTAGTACAACAGTTCACACTTCGCCCTTGTTCATATTTTCACCCCAGAAGTTGTGTTAGAAATTGATATTAAGTATGATCAAAAGTCATTCGTTAACGTTCAAGTGATTCTGAATGGTCTTCTGATCAGAAGACCATCTCGAGATGTGTAGACATCCAGAAAATTCAGGACTAGATGGTTCTATATTTTTAGTCTCAACTGGAGTTGTAGGTTTTTACGATTGATCATAAAGAAATAACTAGTTACATGAGGTGCTTTGATAGCCTTCCCTAACTTTGCTACACTGAATTAGTAATCTGTTAACAGTCCAAACAATGTAGGAGTTTTTGGTTGACACAGTTTCTAAGTGGTAGTGTTAAGGTATGCACTCATCCAGTGAGTCCTAACATGAGTTTCAAGATTCGTCTTCCCTTATAAACGTCAGTCTGGAAATTTACTGAAAGATGCCACCAAATTAGCCATATCCTGGGATCAACATCATGTTTGCGTTTTAGTGATTGTACTACCACAGTATATATTATCTTTCCTGTTGAAATGTTTGATACAGTAAGGATACCGGTAACAATAGTTACCGTATTGCAACTTAACTATTAATAATCAGATAACTGATTATCTACAATTATGTATTCGTAAATGCAGAGGTCGTTTATCAGTTTATATAATCGTGTACTTTAGGTGACTATCTCCGACTTTTTGACTGCCCAGTCCTAAACCCTTTGACTCCTCCATTTCTCCTCAACATTATGCCATTTTATGTGATATATTTCTTGTCTAGCGAATTTAATAACAGTCACTCAGCAACAACGTAAAACTTCGTGCACACGTACATCAGTTCAAGCTGCCATACCACATTAGCACAGAGGTGCAATTGTCTATCCAAACCTCATAGTGGTAGGGGTAGTAAAAGTATAAGTAGTAATCGGAAAGATTAAGGTTTGAAGATGTTATTCAAGGAGTATAATCCAGTGAAATAAATTTGACAAGAGAGAAAAAGGGCATGAAGAATCCAGAAGATTAAGATTTTGGAGAACACAAATGCCCTGGTATGGCCGAGAGTGGGGTGGGCCCGCCCTCCCTCTCGAAATGCTCTCACATGGCCACGCGTATACAACCTCTGTCAGGGAAGTCCTACTCACTGCCTTCTCGTGGCGGGGTGTTGTTTACGGAAATGAAAGGATGAAAAGCGAATGTCCAGTACCCTGCAGGAACAAATGGCGTGTGAACCAATTGTTGGTCACCGGCTTCCATGGGACTGCATCTCCTCACGATGCTCCACTGCCTTGTGGATCAGACCTTTAGGTCAAAGGCTCGGGGTGTGGCTCCTTAAGAAAACCACCTGCTTCGGCCTCGGTACCCGGGCGGTATCACAGCCCACACACAAATATGATGAAATGTCGATATTTATGGAAAATGATTGTCTGCCTTCGATTAGCAATCAAACGATTCACATTATTATTATTATTATTATTATTATTATTATTATTATTATTATTATTATTATTTACGTCATTTATTCACTCTTTTATTCCCAATCTGTGTATCCTTATTTTTCGACTTATAAAGCAGCTCCCCTATGGTGGAAACTCGCTTCTATCTAAGCGTTCTCGAGTCACTGACTGGTTAAAACCTGTATGCTACCACCAAATACGAATACTAAATCAGTTTTTCTGAAACCATGTGCACCATTCAAACTGGCTGCCTTCAACGTTCGCACACTAGTGCAGGTCGGACAACACATAGGGCTGGCTATGTCTTTGGAAAGTCTTAATATTGATGTTTGTTGTCTATCCAAAACCCGTATTCAAGACTCTGGTGAAGTACTACAAATTCGCTATACATCTGTCGCTTCGAAAAGCTTGTTTTACATGCGCTTATCCGGGGACCCTGTGGCATCTTCGTCTGGTCTTGCTGGTGTTGGTGTCGCATTAAGCGCTAGAGCTGAGGCAGCACTAGTCGATTGGATCCCCATTAACAGTCGGTTATGTGCTGTTGGATTAGAAAGTTCCATCAAAGTGAGAAGAAATCGGCGTGAGAAACGATGTCTTTTCGTCATCTCCGCCTATTCCCCGACAGATTGCAGCCCGGATGCAATCAAGGATGAGTTTTACCACCAGGTATCTGTTCTTCTCCAGAAAGTGTGTTCGACAGATATTGTAATACTAGCCGGAGACTTGAATGCTCAGGTCGGGCGTCTAGGCACAGAAGAGAGTCGTTTAGGTGGCCGATGGGGACTCGTTGGTCGCAGGTCAGAGAACAGGGACCGTCTACTGCAACTTTGCACAGACCACAACCTGTTTCTGGCTAGCACTAACTTTCGGCACAGTCATCGCCGATGTGCCACCTGGCGCCCTCCCTCTGCATCCCAAGTCTGGACTCAGATAGATCACATCGCGATCAGCTACCGCTGGCGTGGTTGTGTACAAGACTGCCGCTCCTTTTGGAGTACCTATCTGGACTCTGATCATACATTGGTCTGCGCCAATCTTACCTTACTTTTCAGTGACCAACGAAGTGACCGCCATCAAAGGATTAATGTCAGCAAGTTGGTTACAACCTCTGTTGCAAGTAAGTATCTAACCGAGCTAGCTTCTAGGCTAGCTACCATTCCACTGAAAAGTATGGATGAGCATTGGTTGCAATTGCATGACGCCATGAAAATGGCGAGTGAAGTCACTTGTGGGTTCGCAAAACGTCCCGCTTATAAGCACTGGGTTTCTTCTGGTTCCTTACAACTTATTGAAGCCCGTCGGTCTACTCCGGGTGACCGTGAGTTTGACCATAAACGAAGGATGTTACGTAAGGAAATTGGGCAAAGCTTGCGTAAGGACCGAGAAGCCTGGTGGTCGGAGCGTGCTAATGAGCTGGAAGCAGCAGCTGCATCTGGTAACTACCGGAAGCTCTTCCAGCTCATCCGAGCCACTGGCAGCAAGAAGTCTGGTGTGAGTAAAACAATCTGCGAGGATGATGGGATGCCAATCACTAACATCCATCGACGTCTTGGACGATGGGCAGAATTTTTCGAACGGCAGTTCAACTGGCCTGCTGCTCCGGCAACAGCGGTTGAACTGTCCTGCCCTCCATGGCCGGTGACGACTGATCCACCAAACGAGTAGGAAGTCCGCAAGGAACTCCAACTCTTGAAGCGTTACAAATCACCTGGCCCAGATGACTTACCTCCGGCTCTTTTTAAAGATGGTGGTGACTTTTTGACTAAGGAACTGACGACATTGTTTACAAAGGTTTGGGAACTAGAGAGTGTACCAAGTCATCAGTCAGTCAGCTACAACGTAGGACCAGGCAAATATGTTTATTTATTTATTTCAACACATAAATATTGGTACAAGAGAGCGCCAATATATATGCGCCATACAAAACAATGAAAATTCGAAGAGAGATAGAAAAAAACACTAAGGCGCACAAAAGAAAAAGAGAACGATAACGAAGAGATTGGTGTAAGGTAGTGTGGTAGTAACGAGGGAACGGAAAGGTACAATCAGAAGAAATCTTTCAAGTAAGGGAGACACAACCACTTTTTATGAAGAAATTAAAAGAAGGTTATAGCAGGATCACCACTGGCTTCTATTCTGAGCCATATCTGATAACGTCTCTAGCCACTGTTGCACCATCTCTAGGACTCCAGTCAGGGAGTCGTGAAGAGCCAACAGAAGCCAGCCCTTTGCAACTTTCTTTCATACCACGACACCATGTCATATACTGACCACCTCTCCTGCTTTTCCAACCAGTCCCAGCGTCCGCAAATAATGCACGACGTGGAGTTCTCTGGGACGGCATTCGGAGAACACGTCCAAGCCACCAAAGTCGGTGTTTCAAGATGGTAACACCAATTGAATTATCATCTCTGTGCCCGAACACACGATGCCGAATCTCTGCATTACTAACATGGTGTTGCCACTCAATGTCCAAGCCATCAAAGTCGGTGTTTCAGTTGGCAATCAGTGTCCGTAGGTATGGTATGTGATTTGCACCTTCGAAGTGCAAAGTACTTCTACAAGACTGGCAAAATTCCAATCCTGTACTCACCCTGGATGGTGAGCAGATAGACGTAGTCGAGAAGTTCATGTATCTGTGTAGCTGCATAAGTGCTGGTGGTGGCTTGAGTGATGAGATCAATGCACGTATAGTGAAAGCCAGAGCAGCTTATGCCAATCTAGGCCATCTTTGGCGCCTTCGTGATGTTAGTCTGGCTGTAAAAGGTCGGATCTACAACGCGTCGATGAGAGCAGTTTTGCTCTATGCTTGTGAAACCTGGCCTCTCCGAGTTGAGGACGTTAGACGACTCTCTGTGTTCGACCATCGCTGTCTCCGAAGGATTGCTGACATTGAGTGGCAACACCATGTTAGTAATGCAGAGATTCGGCATCGTGTGTTCGGGCACAGAGATGATAATTCAATTGGTGTTACCATCTTGAAACACCGACTTCGGTGGCTTGGACATGTTCTACGAATGTCGTCCCAGAGAATTCCACGTCGTGCATTATTTGCGGACGCTGGGACTGGTTGGAAAAGCAGGAGAGGTGGTCAGTATATGACATGGCCAGTTGAACTGCCGTTCGAAAAATTCTGCCCATCGTCCAAGACGTCGATGGATGTTAGTGATTGGCATCCCATCATCCTCGCAGATTGTTTTACTCACACCAGACTTCTTGCTGCCAGTGGCTCGGATGAGCTGGAAGAGCTTCCGGTAGTTACCAGATGCAGCTGCTGCTTCCAGCTCATTAGCACGCTCCGACCACCAGGCTTCTCGGTCCTTACGCAAGCTTTGCCCAATTTCCTT